ACCAGGGAAGAATGGAAATGTAAGAGTTGGTGCGAAACCAGAATCTGTAGGCCTGACAGGTGTTACATTGCGGGGAGCGGGGGAGACATGACTTCTTTGTCCCTTCTTCCCACTGGCCCCAGCTGATGTCCAGCTTTAATTGCCAGACCCTGAGAGGATGTAGGAGGGATCAGATGTGCCTTCCCTGACTTCAGTCTTCCGTGCCTATGATCCCAATTCTGCCCGAATTCAGAGCAAAGGCCAAAACCCAGCCTGGATTCCTGAATTCTCTTCAACAGCCCTACTCTAGCTGTGCTCCCCAGCCTCCAGCTGCCCCGTGCCTTTGCTCTTTTATCATAGAAGAGTGCCTGGCTAGGGTCTCTCCACATGGGCTCCCAAGTCTCTTGGGCCCATCCAGGGCGCTGTAGGGACAAAGAAGGACCGTGGTGAATTTGATGGCTCGATTTGGCCTCTTGGTCTTCCAGTAGTTGGTGAAACCTCTGATGTGCGGGATAAGGATCAAGAGGCCTTATCAAGACATGTCTCTTTGTATCACCTACGGATCTATCCATCTATCTACCCATCCTTCTAGCTGTTTATTCATTCAGCAAATATTTATTGCACCTCTCCTATGTGCCAAGGATTATTTTGAGTTCTAGGAACACAGCAGGGAAGAAGACAGGTAATGCTCCTTCTCCATAGAACTTAAATTTTCATTAAGTAGGGTAAGCCAGACAATAAATAAACAAGCCAGCAAAATACCAGCTAGGGTAAGTGCCTGGCTGAGAAATTAAAAAGAGGTGTGGCGACAGAGGGTGACTGGCAGCCCCTTTAGATGGGTTGGTTGCTAAGAAGTTGACATTTAAATGGACAGTCGGGACCAATCACAGGAGGACGGGGCCTCATATTCCAGGCTGCGGCAGCAGCTGGCATGGAGGTCCTGGGGCAGGCAGGAACCTGGAGGGTTCTTCAAGGCCTGTTTGAGGGACTGAGAAGGACCAGCAGCTGGGACATGGCCAGTGAGACCCTCCTTGCAGGGCCAGTTCAGGTGGGAGCTACAGCTTAAAACCTGGAGAACCTGCTACCCCTGGCCGTGGCCTCCCCATGTAAATGCTGCTCTTTCTTCCTGCATTCCCCAATTCCTGCCACACCCCCCGGCCCCCAACTCTCCTCCCGGATTTCTAAACTATTTCTTGGTTCATGTGGTGTGTCTTTTGATTACAAGTCCAGCCTCCAGGTAACACAGTTACCAAATGCATTTCAAACTTTTCATTCTCATCAACACCAAACCCAGTTTTGGCATAATATGAGCTTAACGTGAAAAATGTGTTTAGGGAAGAATCCTTTTTTAATCTTCGCCCCACTCTAAATTACACCTAAAAGAGAGGGTTTTTAAAAAGAAAAAGAAAAATCTCTTCCCTAAGGATACGTTGGTATTAAAAACTGGTATTAAAGACATTGTAAACTTCTTAGTTTTTATTTTCTGTAAAGATCCCTGCAACCTGTAATTTGAAGGCAAGGCATCAGTCCTGATGCCGCCTGGCCAGGGGGACCTACCTGTGCCTTTGACCTCCATGGACCCCTCACCCACTGGCCCAGGACCCAGCCGGATCTGGTACTTTCCTGGCACCCTCAGTCTGCCTGGGGCCGAGGCAAGGCCCATGCTCGGAAGCTGGGCTGGGCTCCCAAGGAAGCAAGTGGCAGAGATTTGAAGTCTTGTCTTCTCAGGAGTGCGGAGAAAGCACCAGGCAGGCTCCCTAAGTGGCTGGTCAGAGCCAGCAGCCCCAGGTGGTTGTGGATGGGAAACACTCAGACCTGGAAGTTTTAAGCCCATGTCCCTCCTGTTTACTTTTTCCATGTTCTTCTTCTTCTTCTTCTTCTTTTTTTTTTTTAATGTTTATTTGTTTTTGAGAGAGAGAGAAACAGAGCGTGAGCATGGGAGGGGCAGAGAGGGAGGAAGACACAGAATCTGAAGCAGGCTCCAGGCTCTGAGCTGTCAGCACAGAGCCTGACACGGGGCTCGAACTCACAAAGCACGAGATGATGACCTGAGCTGAAGTCGGACGCTTAACCGACTGAGCCACCCAGGTGCCTCTCCATTTTCTTCTAATAAATATCTCATCCCAATTTTTGCATGAAACGACAGGTGTTTTTCATATTCCGAGCATGAGTAACAAAGGCAATAAATACTGAATATGCTTCCACAAACTCCCCTGCCCCCTCTTCTTGGAGAAATGGATACAATCCTCTCTATTTTAAATGCCCAGTCGCTGAGCACCGTCGGCTGCCTCCAAGCTGTTCCCATCTCCCAGCCTATCAGACCCTGTCTCCATCTTCTCAGACTCAGTGCTGTGTCCCCCCTGGGGAGGCCTGATGTCATCCACAGGGTGTGCAAACCCAGAAACCAGCCTGAGAGCTCACATGGGGCTGCTGAGAGGAAGTGCACCAGACCAGCAACTTCCAAGAGTGGCAACCAGGAGGCAACCTCTGCGCTCACTTGGACGTGACCTAAAACTGGGTCTTCCGGACAGCCACCCTCGCCTGCCGCAGGATGCAGCACCCCTGAGCTTGCGGTCCTGGTTCCCTACGCTAGACACACACCCTGTGCTCCTGCGGATCGCCGGCAAGGCGGCTACGCCGGGGCCTCTCCCCAGGCCTGGAGCCTGGACCTGCCACCGTGGTGGCACTCCCTGCCTTGCTGATGACAGCTCTGTCTCTGGGCAGATGCGGAGGAACTGGGCCTCAGAGCTCAGAGACAGGTGCCCGTCCCTGCCAACATGGGTACTTCCTCCACTGCTGTAGGAGCCCGACGCCCCCCTCCCCAACACACACCCCTTCTGTGCCTCCCCTCTGGCTTCCTGGTCCCTGGCCGTCTCTTCCGTCTCATCTGTCGCTGCTCTCCTCTCCTCCTCACCCCCTCCAGCCCAGCCCAGCCATACTGGACGATGGGTATGCCCTTTCTCGGAGCCACAGTGTTCTTTTCCTTTTCCTGGGGTGGTTTTCCTTCTTTCACTGGCTAAGTCCTACTTGTCTTTCAAAACTCAGCTCAGCTATCACCTCCTCCAGGAAGCCTTTCTGATTCCTCCGGACTGAGTTAGCAAACCCTTTTCTGTTCTTCCACCTTATTCTGGCACTGACCACGCAATTTGCAAGTATCCCCACTAAGCTGCATACTTTGCAGACATGAACATGCCTCACATCCCTGGGTTCCTAGTCCTTAGACCAGTGCTTGTTCAACAGGTGCTAAATGTGTGGATGGGTGGATGGATACATGCGTGCATGCGTGCGTGCTCCAACCACTGACCTAATGGGCCCAACTAGTGAGGCCTGGGATGCTGGTCACTGGGGAGTGTGTGCATTCGAGCCTCACGTCAGGACTGCCTCAGCCAGCGTTATCAGCTGCTGAACTAAGTTGGATTTGGATATGGCGATGTCCAATCCCACTGCCCAGAGCCCTTGGGGTTCTCAGGAAGCCAAAAGGCACATGATTCCTGCCTTCTCAGAAGAGAAGAAAAATCACCAAGTGCTGTGTACTCCCTCCCTGCCCTCACTGCCCGGTTACATGCCCCTCCCCCTTCCTGCTATTCAGCACTCTCACCCCAGTGCATCCACTCCTGAGGCTAAGGTGCTGGAAGTCTCTAGACATCCCTAAACTTGCCTGTAATCAGGTAACTAAAAGGCAGAGAAAAGCAATTCCCAAAGAACAGGGACGGGAGAGGGTGGGAAGACTTTTGGCAGAAGGCAGGACCAGTCCTTGCCCTACCCAACCCGTAGCCCCTCTCCCAGCCTCCTGAAGCATCCAGAAAGTCAGGCACCCACATCCCCGGCTGGGCCTGCATCCCGCTCACGTTCTCACCTCCCACCTCCAGTAGGCGCTGCTGAGTTAATGGCCTGCACCATGTCGGTGGTGAGGGCATCCAGGAGGCTGGTGATAAATTCCATTTTCTTCCCTTCTGGACACCCTGAAAGATAAAGTGAGATTTGAGGGCAGATCCCCGGGCCCCTGTGATGCCCCACCCAGCACCCCCATCTCCATCCTACAGAAGGGGAAGCAGAGCCAGAGGAGGGAGCTGCTTCTGCACCACAGGAGTTGGAAGAACAGAAAGAGGTGGGGGGACCAGCAAGGGGCAGCCTCTCCTCCCACCTGGCAGCTCCCTGTCCTTGAAGGGATCGTCCACCTCTGCACTCTTGGCCCTGGCGTCGCTCTCACAGCTGGGCATCACGTAGCTGGGAGGAGAGAGACACAGGGGCGGGTAAGGAGGGGCTGGGAACTGGTGCCACTGCCAGCCGCAACCACCCTGTTGTCACTAAGCCTGGAACTCCCGGGGCCAGCAGCAGAATGGCGCCTGTGCTGTCCAGCAGCCACCCGGCAATCCCAGTACCAATGTTTCCAGAGGCGTGTTCAGGCATGGCATGGCAACCGCTCAAGCAGAGTGGCGCCTCAGTCACCTGAGGTCTGCACGCAGGATGTTTGGGATCCGCAGAACCTAGGGACTTGGGGTGATAACCTTCTCGCCGGTAAACTGGAGTTCGGAGAGGTTACCTCCTTTTCCGAGGTCACCCAGCGAAGAAGGGACAGAATTGTTACCGGAATCCGGGACCCAGGTCTTTCTACCAGGACCGAATCTGCCCAGGAGCAGAAATGTTCTCCTCGTGCCTTGATTCCTGCCGGGCCGGGCCGGTAAAGGAGGGAAACACGAGCATAGCCTAACAGGGAGCTGGGTCTCCTACCCCAGGGTCCCCCTAGGGGCAGGATGGGCTTGGGGGCGGGGGGCAGAGCAGGCTTACCGTGTGGAGGTCCCGGGCAGTGGGCGCCCTGTGTCGACTAGCACACACCAGCAGTAGCCAGTGGACTGGTGGCACTGCACTGGCTTGTAGAGGCCCCCGGGGGCGCACTCAGGGATGACGATGCCCTCCCGGGGATTCTGCCTGGCCTCTTCCAGGGCACTCTGCCTCTCCTGGTCACACGAATGGACCTTCTCTGCAAGAGAAGATGCAGCCTTTGGGGGCGCTCCCTCCCGTGGCTTCTCACCACTGCTTTTGGGGTAAGGATCCAGCCCGGCCCCCAAGGAACTGATGGCTGGTGAATCACCACGGAGAGCTGTGGCTCCCACACCGGCCCACGGGTGGCGGGGGCTGGCTGCAGCCTCTCCACGGCCAGGGCTCATTAGCATTCACACCCAGTAGGTTCTACCGCACGCGCAACCAGCCGGCCCTGGACGGCAGGGCTGTTCCTCATCCGAATGGCAGTTTGCCCCCGGGGGTGGAATTTCCCCGACTGTTTTCAGAGTGGCTCCTGCTGATGCACTGTCTCCTGGCTCCTGGAGGTGCAGGAGCCTGGCCCCTGGGAGCTGACAAGCTGACGCCGGAACGCCTGTGTGTGCGGACGCTCTCCCGAGCCCAGACACAGCAGGACAGCGCCCCAGCCGCCAGCCTCGGAGAAGCGATGCTCAGTGCCCAAGAGGAGCAGAGACAGGGCCCATCCCCACTCCTTCTCAGGCTCCAACAGGAGGCTTGACAGGCCTGAGCCGATGACACAACACTGCCCCATCCAGCGGGAGAGAGAAACGCCCACAGGAAGCGTCTGCGCTCAGCAGCCTCCGGCAACGCGCGAAGGCGGCCTTACAGCCAAACCCGGAGTCCCCGAACCGGGCCCAGGCTGTGTGCGGTGCCCCTTGCCAGGCAAGGCCGGCTTGGGGGGGGCCTCAGCCCCACAAGGCCCCTGGCCTGAAAATTCCACCCAACAGTCTACCTGCCAGACTTCCCTTTCCTGTTGTGTTGTTGCTGCTGTGTTTTCTTTTGTCTTTTAATTATTAAACATAAATAGCACTGGGTTTCCTTTCTTAGTATAAAGAAAATTTTGAAAAACCCATGATCCCACCAAAGGTATCTTTTGCACATACAACGTGAAAATACATATGTACACACCTACTTCGTTGTTTGGGTTGTTTTTTGTTTGTTTGTTTGTTTGTTTGTTTTTTTACAATAAAAGATATCACGTCATAAACCGAGTACTATTATTTCCTCTTGTCTATTTTTTTAAAAATGTTTATTTATTTTTGAGATGGAGAGAGACAGCATGAACGGGGGAGGGTCAGAGAGAGGGAGACACAGAATCTGCAGCAGGCTCCAGGCTCTGAGCTGTCAGCACAGAGCCCGACGCGGGGCTCGAACTCACAGACCGTGAGATCACAACCTGAGCCGAAGTCGGAAACTCAACCGACTGAGCTACCCAGGCGCCCCTCCTCTTGTCTATTTATTTACTTTATTATCTCTTTAACGAACACGAGTCTATAACTTTCCTCTTGAAGATGACAAGAATGGTCTTGAGAGACCCATGAAGTTTCACAGTGTATTATAAAAATACCATTCTTAGAGGGGCCATGGAGTGTCTCAGTCGCTTGGGCGACCGACTCTTGATATCTGCTCCAGCCATGATCTCACCGTTCTTGGGTTCAAGCCCTGCACCGGGCTCCACGCTGATGGTGTGGAGCCTGCTTGGGATTCTCTCTCTCTGCCCCTCCCTCACTCGTGCGCATGCACACTCTCTCTCTCTCTCTCTCAAAATAAATAAACATTTAAAAAAATTTAAAAAATACCATTCTTAGAGCCAGGAAGTTGGTACCAGCAACCTGGAGATTCTTGCTGCTCACTGAACAGCACAAATGGTCCAAAAAACAGCAACTCAACTCTAAAGGAGCCAAACCTCTGAATTAAGGGCTCTGTGAACGATCGACAAATGAGCAGTACAGATGCTTGAACGAAGCAGGTGGACACAGAGATGCGAAGCAGCCCAAAGCAGTCTTAGAGAAAAGTCACACGACGGGGAAAAGATTCTTTGTCTCACTCCTAGGAGAAACGCTGAAAAGCAATAGCCTACTGAGTCTCATTGCAGGGAGAGGGGGATGTTTCCTTAGGGGCATAAAAATATCCAAGGGTCAGGAGGCAGCTATGCTGAGCACGTTCATTATTAAACTGTAACTCTGATTTTGGAGAATGAAAAAGAATACTACTGTTTTCATAATGTAAACACACACACACACACACACACACACACACACACACACACACAAAACTAAACAGGATCTCCTCGGCTGGAGGAACAGAAGTTTAAAACAGTTGACAGACTTTAGACTAGGGATTCTAAACCTGATTAGAACTACCACCAGGACAGCCTCTAGAGGCAGCTTAAGTAAGAGACATAAACTGATTGGTTTATCATAGACATAAAGCTGGCTTGAAGACCCAGATTTTTGGCTTTGGCCCCTGGCTGGGATGGAGCCATGGCCCCTTTTAGGGATTACACAAGAGTTTCTCAATACCTCCCCCAACCCCAATTTGGTTACCTTATTTCCCGACCTCATATTTCATGCCACGGGAAAGGCGACAGAGAAGCAAAAACCAAAGAAAAACAGCTTTTTTACTGGCACCACGTTCGTGTAACAACCTCTGACAGAGGCTTTAAATTAAGGTCCTCCGGGCCAACATTCTAAAGCCATAAATCAGACAGAAAGGGAGAGGTGCAAAGAGAGTGAATGATAACCTGACTTCACACCGTCGGGGATCCTGGAACTGCAGAAATGTGGAGAGAAGCCATCTAAGAAGGTGGGACCCCGTGGTTTGGGGGCCGTCGGCAGACTTCTGGAAGCCCTTGAAGGCTGTTCTGAAATGTTTCCAGCCGGTTCCCATAGAGGCTGCACTGAGTGGTATGGAGAATAGAAACCACACAAGTGATAAAGCTCGCTAATTTGGAAAAATGGGGGCTAGCGTGGAATTAGAGAGAAGGCCAAATGTAGGGTTTATTGCTTGTTTGCTTCTTACTTTATGACAGGCCCTGAAAATTCCAGATGCTCCTCTAAGAAAAAGACAGGAGAGGTTTATAATAAATCACTAACCCTCTGTGAAGAGTACCCAGGGAATTTGTCTTCCAACAGAGAGAAAATCTCCCTTAAAACCATCTTTATACTAACAGTCAAAGCAAATATTCATTGAGTATATGTGCCAGGTGACAAGACAGCCTGCTTAATCTCCTTCTGTGTGAGGTGGGCACCATTATTTTATGCCCATTTTGTAGACAAAGATGCTGAGCTTTGGAGGGATTCATGAATTTTCCCAAGTGCGCTCAGCCAGAGGGAAGAGAGCTGGGACCCCAGTCAAGGGCTTCTGACAGTCAAGCCTGTGTCTTGTGAAATTTTATACAGAGGTTACTGCCTCTAATCGGTTACCCTGGGAGAAAAATGCATTTCTTTTTAGTGTGAACCTCTTCCGGGTCAGTCACTTTGCAGACTACCCCAAATCTGCTGCATTTAAAACCAAGTGTGTAAAATCACATCCTTGCACATGGACACAGCACAGCCTCTTCTGAACCTCTGATTGTTCTCGGCCTAAATACACTGCACGTCTTGCACCCGAGGATTTTTGCCCACTTTGCTCTGGAACTGAAAACATAAAGCCAAATTTGCCACTCGCCTGCCATCACAGAACAGCAAAATGAATACTAAGAGCTCGCACTCTATCTGAGTGTTTAGCATGTGCCAAGCTTGATACTGGGCACTTGACTTGTATTAACTCACTTCAAACTCATCACAAACCTGAAGACAGGGGTCACTATGACCCTCACCGAGCAGAAAAGGACCCAGGAACACAGGCGGACTGCATGGTTTCCTCAAGGTCATCCAACCGGAAAATGGCAGAGCTGGGGATCCAGCCCAGGGAGCCTGCCCCCGGGCTATGCTGTCCACTCTTCAATACCATCTCTCACTGCCACACGCTCATCTAATTTTTATTCTAACCCATATTTTTATTTTCCTTGGTGCGGCAGATGGTTAGAAAATGGTTCCAGTGAATCGCACCTCTCTGTATCTGCGCCCTCTTGCAGACCCCTTCACGTTGACTCTGATTCGCTTTGACGAATGGAAAGGGCAGGGGTGACAGTGTGTGACTTCCAGGCCTAGGCCTTAAGGGGCCTTGCAGTTTCAACTTTCACCTTCCTGGAAGCTGCCCTGAGGCTACCATGTAAGGAAGCCAGTCCAGCCCACTGGAGGATGAAAAGCATATGAAAGAAAACAGGACTGACGCAGTCCCCAGCCAGCACCAACTGCCAGCTGTGTGACCTTGACCATCCAGGCCGCTCCCGCCCCATGGACCCTCCAGCTGGATGAGTCCAGGAGTGCGTTCAGACACAGCCAGTCAAGGAACCACCCAGCCAATGCACAGAAACATTCCAGCATCTATTGCTGGAACACCCAGTGCAGAAGTACGCCACACCCTTCAGCCGATCGATCACTATTAGATCGATCAATTGATTATTCCTCCAGTCAGTGCTTTTCCAGAAGTCATGAAAATATGAATCAGTAGGTACCAAGGGACATAAACTCATTCTGTGTCTGAGGACCCAGAAACCAGCCCCATCCTTAGGGCCACTGGCACCCTCTGCCCTTTTGGGTTACCTCCCAAATGAACCTTAAAATTCACCACTCTCAGTCTTCCCAGGTACCAAGAAGTCACCTTGCAGTAATGTAAGGCAAAGGGTCTACTTCTTGACCCTCGGTTCAGAGAGGGAGCTCCCCAGAAGGAAACGCCCCCTGCTCTAGAACATTCCGTCTCTGCTTAACGAAGTTCAGGGAAGGATGACAACATCACAAGTTCTGGCCTGATGGTGATGAGAAGGACCAGGTCCATCAGCAAACACTTGCAAGGCGTAATCAACAGCACAGAGGAGCAGTCAGGGCTGTCCAGGGGACATGCAGATACATGACACATTGTCACACAGTCATGTGCCCCACCCCTACAATCCTACCCCAGGAGGGTACGGAGCAGAGATGAGAGCCAGGTCACTCCCCACCCGGCAATGGGTGCTCTGAGTCTCACAAACGTCTGACTGCCTGAGAGAAGAAATACAACAGAATGGTATCCCGTGGAAGAAATGAGGACACGGTCAGGCCCTTGTCACCACAAAACACACAGCCCTCTCTGTCACCA